AAATTATTTCACTATTAACCATTTAAAATAAGAAACAGCAGCACTGCCCTGGTGCACTAGGTGGCCAATCACAGGTCTTCGTTGCATCACGGGAGACCTGAGGACCTTTCTCTCTGGCCACCTGTGTCCTGAGCAGTAACGCTGACCCCTACCCAGACACCTTAGAAACAAAATTGTCTTGGTCCTGAGAAACAGTGATTCCCTGACACTCCTTCTTCCCTGCGAAGTGCTGTGCAGGGACAGGGACTAAGGCCACCCCCGATCCCAATTACCCCAACATGGCCCCTTGGACACGGAGACAAAGCCTCAGTCAATATTTCACACACTGTACAATAAGGTCTCAGGGTATTTCTACACTGAGAAATTTCAGCTCTTGCTCCCAAGGCATAGCACTGGTGCCTGGGAGGTGGCTGGCCCTGATAAAGATAACTGCGAGGTCACCGTCAGTGGACAGGGTCTTGGTGTACCGAAGAACTGAGGGGGACAAGGGTGATTTTGTGAGGCATGGAAATGGCTCCCAGGCGTGAAGCTGCCTGGAGAGAGGAGAAACTAGAGTCTGCAAACTGGATCTACAACCTTCTCCGCTCAGCACGGAGCGTCACTCAGATGGTCTCCGGGGGCACGGACCTGAGGTCCAGTGACAACAAGGGGACACCGACATTCAAAGAACGAGGACTTGGGAGCATGAGAATTTAGGACTGATGTCAAGCTGCCATCAGCAGGAGGGAAGACGTCACTCGCAGGTTGGTCGATGTGGGGCAATCTGGGCACAGGCATGGCGGCGCTGGCACTGCCCGTAACATGCACAGGCACCCCAAGTCATGGAGTTGGCTGGACATCAGGGGCACCTGCAGCAGCAGCACACTGGAGTGTCTGTCATCTTCGCCGTCTGCGGACACCGGAGACTCTATAGTCTGAGTTTGGCTCTAAATAACCTCGTGAGGGGAGGGGGCCCCAAAGCTCTGATTTCGCCCCGGCGGTTAACAAATTGAGGTGAGAAGCGAGACCGTTAAAGCTGGTTTGGACCAGACCACAACGGGAAGGCTCGCCCTTGTCACCATGATGAGTTCTGCAGGGTTTCCCCGGGGAGAGGTCAGGAGCACTAAGGGCTCCACCACGTGTCGCCAGGAAGAAGGGGCCAGGTGCCTCCCCTCCTGGCCACGCTTTGCTCATCACCACCAAGCACAGAGGGAGCGCTGCATCCCGCCCCATCCACTCCTCACGACGCGTGCAGCCTGCGGCCTGTGGGGCCTGCCGCTTCTGTGCGGAGGCCAGTGAGGCACGAGCAGGACCTCGCAGGACGGTGGGCTCTCCAAAGTCCTCCTCCGCTGCCAAGGGGCTCTGCAAGAAGCAAAGGCAGAGGGAATGTTTTTTTAATTTATAAATTTATCTTTGCAAATTGAGTAGCCTCGTGTTTTCTTTTCTTTATTAGTACCTGTTTGCAATTCATGCAGTTTACCCTCACCATGGGGAGTGGGGACCCGGAGGTAGTACAGCTCGTTTCTTTTTTTAAGCTCCTTCTTCTTCCCTCCCTCTCCTCCCTCTTCCTCCGGTTCCCCTGTCCCCTTTATTCATCCTTGTTCACGTTATTGGGCTTAGCTCAGGTCATGGCATGTGGCGCTTGTGTTCTTGGGGGTTGTTAGGTTCCTGCACACAGCACATCTTTATTCTTATTCCCCCTTCCTCTCCTCTTTCCCCTCACTCTCCCACATCTGTATTGCAAGAGATCTGTCCCTCATCTCCTTCTGTCCATCCTTTATCATTTCCTTTGTTTGTGCTTTGCCTCCTCAAATGAGAGACCCCATGTAGTATTTATGCTTGCATGTCTGGTTGATTTCACTCAACATTGTTTCCCAGCTGCATCCATTTTCCTACAGATGTCTGAACAGTCTCATTCTTTATGACCAAGTAGTATTCCATTCTATACATTACCCAGCCATCTGGGTGCACAGGCTGCTTCCAGGACCCAGCTCTCACCAGCTGTGCTGCTGTGAACACTGGTACGCGTGTGTCACTGTAGCGTGATCACTCACGCTCCCTGGGGAAGACCCGTGGGGGGGATCCCTGGGTCTACGGAATTTCTAATGTCAGTTCTTTGAGAAAGCCCCACACTGACTTCCACGATGGCTGTCCTGCTTTGCATCCCCACCAGCAACGCAGGGGGTCCCTTTTCACCACAGTCTCGCCAGCCTCTGTTACAGCTTCATTTCCTAATGACCGCAATGATTTCCAGAGAAAGATGGAATCTAGCATGGTTTCAGTTTGCATTTGTCTAATGGCCAGAGACGTTGAGCATGTTTTCATATATTTGCTGACCATCTGGGGGGTCATTAATTGATTAACTGTCAGCGTGAGTGGGAAGGCCCAGCTGAACTGAGTCAGCGTGGTTCTGGGCGTGGAAGACCCACTTCAGGGATTGTCGGATGGTTGTCAGCAAGGTATAAAAGGAGAATGGAGGGAAAGATCTCAGCTGACTTTTCTTGGAAGGGCTTCATGATGGCTGATTTTCCTTGGAGAAGCTTTGGCTGTTCTCCTTGGAGGAGCTCCGGTCTTCACCTTCACCTTGGGCATGGTCTCCAGGGCATCAGTGCAGATTCTCCAGCTTCCAGCTCTACCCTTTCCACCTCCACACAGGTCTAGCACCTTAGCACTTTGTCCTCTGTGCACACACCCCTTGGTCTTCCATTGTGGATGCTTTTGGCCCCTGATGCAGACTCACAAGGGACATTGCCGTGGGCTCGAGGTCTTCAGCTGGGTCCTTCAGATCTCTAAGGCACGGACAGATCTTTTGCACTCTTCTCCATTTGACTCTGTGGGCTGCCATTGAAGGCCAATCTTGTAAATTTCTGTGTCCTGCATTAAATCTCATTCAGAGCATGTGCAGTCTTTCGAGGAGCCTCGCCCCAGCCCAGCAAGCTCTTGGAAGCACTGACTAATACAATTAGTATCTCTTCCTCTGTGATGTGTCTGTTCATTTCTCTTGCCATTTCTTGACAGGATCTTTCATGTCAGGGGTTTTAAACTTTTTTGAGTCCTTTGTATATTCTAGACATCAGTCCTCTGGCCGAGGAGTGGCTGGCAAAAACGTTTTCCCATCCTGTAAGTTGTCCCTTCACTCTGCTGACTCTTTTGCAGTACAGAAGCTTTTTATCCATTTGTTGATTCTTACTATTTCTTGTGCAATTGAGGTTGTTTAGAAAATTCTTTCCTCTGCTACATCTTCAAGTGTTTTACCTATTTTATTTTCCTGAAGGTTGAATGTTTCTGTTTGACTGTTTAGATCCTTGATCTATTTTGATTTTAATTTAGTATACAGTGAGGGATGAGGGTCCAGTTTTAATCTTCTGCAAGCAGACAACCAGTTTTCACAGCGCCGTCTGTTGAATAGTCTACCTTTCCTCCAATGTATGCTTTGGTCCCTTTATCAAAAATCAAGTAGCTGATGTGTCTGGGGAGGTTTCTGCATCCTCCGTTCTGTCCCACTGATCTGTGGGTCTGTTTTCATTCCAGTACTGTGCCATTTTTATCCCTATTGCTTTGTACTATAGCTCGAAGTCAGGGATTGCTATGCTGCCTGCTTTGCTCTTATTGCCCCGAATTACTTTTGCTGTTCTGGGTCCCTTCTGGCTCAATATGAATCATAGGCTTGCTTTCTCTAGATACATAAAGTACGCTATTGGAATCCGAGCGGGTTGCCCTGAGTCTGTGTGACGGCTGTGGAAGTATGGCTGTTCTGACAGTGTTATTACGCAGAAGGAACATGAAGAGGATGAACACGCAGGAGAATCGTGTCTGTTTGCAAGAGGAAAGTTTATTGGGAGGTGTGGGGAAGAGCGAGAAGAGCAGCGACAGCCGAGGGAAGCACGACACACCTGAGAGGCCGCTTCACAGCTCCAGCCTCGCAGCCCACCAAACATAGGCACCAGCAGGGGGACCGGGGTGCGGAGGCGCAGAGCCAGGCCGCGGCCCTAGGCACTTGCCCTCCTTGCAGGGCCTGACTCGTGATGAGGCGGGACATGGGGTGGAGAGGTTGAGCAGGTCCCCGGGACTCCTTCTGTCTTCGTGCAGTCCTCCTGCCGGCTCCGGGCTACTCAGCACCCAAAGGTGTTGCAGGGCCCACAGCGGGACCGGGAAATACAAGGATTGGCCACACAGGGTCCGATGGGCTTGTCACAGGCGTTGGTAGTGGCGCAGGGGTTGCAGGGCAGCCTGGGACACAGGATGATGAGATCATCAGGTGAGAACACTCATTTCAAAAAGGGAGGGGGCTCAACCCAGATAGACGTGGGATGAACAGAACCGGTTCCCAGATGCATCAGAAAGCTCAGTCCTGTTCAGAGGACTCCTACAAAGCTCGGAGGTAGTGGCAGAAAACAGCGGGAATCCCAGCCTTTGCTCCATAACCCTGGAAATGTGGGGAGTCTCCTTGCCCCTCTAAGCCTTAGCCTTGCAGCCATAAAAAGGGATTGGCGCAAACAACCACATGTAAAAATTCCGAAACATTGTGCTCATAGAAATACTGTGTTTGCCAACAAGTGGAGCACCCTGTCAGCTATGGAGTCATCCCCCCCTTTTGATGCTCAGAGGCCCGTCTGGAAGAGGGTTATGATTCCCACTCTGCCTGCTCCAACGATTCCAACAGGGGTATATAAAGACAATGGACTTCAAAGTCTCAGTGAAATCAGAAAAAGTGATGATTGTCACAGGATTTTTTTTTCCCTTTTGATGTCACCAGCCATCCCTGAAGACCCAAGGCTGTATTTACCCATCAGCACCCAATGGATCCCAGTAGGGACCGCAGTCATCTCCTGTCTATCTTTAGGAACAGACAAGACCTTTAGCCCAGGTAATGCCAGCAATAAGTAACACCACACTTCCCACTGCACTGTATGAATCTCTGCTCACTGCAGACTTGCATCTGCGACTCCATCTGCCAAGTCTCTACTTTGCTCTTTGGTAAAAGTGTGAATGTGCCTCACAGGGGGTCGCCAGCGCCCTACTCACTTGCAGTCCTCGCTCTCCAGCAGCCCCCGGTACGTGTTGATCTC